TTTAAAATAAAGGTTTTTAGTAAATGGTGTATTTGGAAGTAAAGCTTAGCAAAACTGTACGGATTTTATTAAGCAAATTATGTTATAACGTATAGCGAAGGAAGTAGGTCGATCCAGGCAGTAACGGCGGAGAACCAGAATTTTGAATATTTAAATAGTGAAAAATCATGCGAAATTTTCACTGTTATAAATCTGTTGTTTGAAGATGTCAGCAGTTGCGACTTCATAGGTTTTGAAGAGTAGATGTTGCTCTATCAGCTAGTGAAGGAATCGGGTCGATTTAAGAGATAGTCGTTGAAAACCAGAGTTCTAAAACTTTACGCCATTTTTGCGTGTTTTTTGACTGTTGAGAGTTAAACTCTTATAAATATTGAATGTGGAAGTGTATGATGTTGCGACTTCATAGGTTTTATAGAGTAAGGTTTGCCTTATCAGAATATGTCTTGTCCGTTCCGATCCATTGAAACACCTCCGAGATCCAGAGTCATGAAAAAGCAGGTAAAAAAGAGCTTTTTGAACTTCAACAGCTCATAACTTCTTCAGAACTGCATGAATCATGTTGCGACTTCATAGGTTAGATTCCTCTCATCAAGGGCTTTCAGATGATATATAATATGTGGGGGTTTAGAGCCTCCTGCGAATTATGACCGGGGGGGGGGGGGGAGACTTTTTAGGCCAAAGTCTCCCCCTCGCCCATTTTAATGTATTGGCTGGAGGCTGCCGGGGGAGACTTTGGCCTAAAAAGTCTCCCCCCCGGGCATATGCCGTAAGAGGCGCGAAACCCCCACATATTATATATTATCTGAAAGCTCTTGACGAGAAGAATCTAACCTATGAAGTCGCAACATGATTCGTGCAATCCTGAAGAAGTTATGAGCTGTTGAAGTTCAAAAAGCTCTTTTTTACCTGCTTTTTCATGACTCTGGATCTCGGAGGTGTTTCAATGGATCGGAACGGACAAGACATATTCTGATAGGGCAAACCTTACTCTATAAAACCTATGAAGTCGCAACATCATACACTTCCACATTCAAGATTTATAAGAGTTTAACTCTCAACAGTCAAAAAACACGCAAAAATGGCGTAAAGTTTTAGAACTCTGGTTTTCAACGACTATCTCTTAAATCGACCCGATTCCTTCACTAGCTGATAGAGCAACATCTACTCTTCAAAACCTATGAAGTCGCAACTGCTGACATCTTCAAACAACAGATTTATAACAGTGGAAATTTCGCATGATTTTTCACTATTTAAATATTCAAAATTCTGATTCTCGGCCGTTACTGCCTGGATCGATCTACTTTCTTCGCTGTACGTTATAACAAAATTTGCTTAATAAAATCCGTACAGTCCAACAAACTTCTACTTCCAAATACACCATTTACTAAACACGTCTATTTTAAATTTTTATAAATAAAATTTATAGATATTTTTAATATTCATCGTATCTGTGGCCCTAAAGAGGGCCGTTGGGTCGACGTTAGACCTAGAAAGATAGCTCCGTTCGTCCATTCTATCCTCCCCCCGCACCTCCCCCCCCCCCCCCCGTCGACGTTTTTGGGAGGTGAGTGTCCGACACTACCACCTTCACTTTTGGCCGGCCAGTGGTAGCTGAAACCACCTTCACTTTTGGGGGACCCGGCTCCCCCTATCGCACCTCTGAGTTGAGCGGAGTTTTCGACCGTGAATATACACCAAGCATGGTATCAAGTTCAAACCAGAGAAGTGTGCAGAGCATAGTCTCTTCTCCAAAATCCTATACTTATTATGGATCAGTGATGGATAAGCAAGGAAAATTATATCTCAGAGAATCGCGACAAAATAAAAAAGGGAGAGCCTAATCTGCTTTTGCTTAGTGATTTGGAACCAAATTAGGGCTGAAAGTACCAGGAATCATCAAAAAAACAGAATTGACTAAAAGATCAGGCTTTGTCTAACAAACGAATGCATTTAGGGTTCCTCTGCTACGTTTTCTGATCGCAGCCTGGTGCGATATTTCAATTCACTACTATTTCCTTCAAGCAGTAGAGGACTTCTCAACTTGTTGAAATGTATTTTGGAAAATCTCCATACTTGTAAGAGAGAATGGCAATGCAATATTATATCTAGAAGCCCGTAATGACACCCAGGTGGAGGGCAAGCGTTAGGCGACAAAACGTGCAAACCGCAAGCAACGTAAATCCTGTAACTCAAAACTATGCACCATTTTTTCATTGGCGTCGGGTAATGTATCGGCCCCGACCCCCACCCCCCTGTTTTTGGCGGAGGAGACGTTCTGCACGGGGAGTTCTTTGGGGTCCAAAAAATTGGGTTTGTCGCCTAACGCCCTACACCCCACCCAGGTATCGTCAAGTCATTTGCGACTTCTGCGTATGCACACACGCGCCCTACTTGACGATATGGAACCCAGCGCATTTCCTTTCCAGTATTTTTTGATATGGGATGCATTGTGAATAGGGATCCACCGCCGAGTAAAATTCAGAATTTTGGGGCCAGTTTATGTAAACTGCTGGAAAAGAGTATGGCTCTATGGTCAACATATGTCGATCTATTCTAAAATGCACCTTTGTTTACGCTGTGGAGTACTCACACCAGTAGTTCATGTGCTGATGGACGGATTTTGTTGATTGCTTGTGCACGACGATGTCTGGAGCATTAAATGACGTTACAAGTACAGATTACATAGCCAAGGCCCACAGCCATTGCTGCACTGCGGTTTCAGCGTTCTAGTCTTTCTTTCATGTATTTTTTTCGTTTGTTGCCGATTCTGAGACTAGGAGACCCGAGTGAGGCCCATTGTAGATACAAACAAGTTTGGAATTGTTCTTCCTCAGTTCCGTTTAGCGTGGTTCTAGGTTTTTCCCTCATTTCATGTGCCTAATGCACACCATGCGCTCTACTTGACGGCTGGTAAGATTAGTATGTTCATTTGCTGTGGTCACTCCTTGTTTCCTTGTCTATTTCGATTGATTGTATACTTATCAATTAGTGGAAACCCCTACAGTTTTCACGCTCAAAAGATCATTCAGGGAATCGAGTAAGGGGTGTTATCGGCTGCCGCGCATTGTATGCAAGTTCACCTAAAGGTTACAAATGACTCAACGTTACATTTAGCTTAGAAATCGTGGTTGCGATTGTTATTAGACATCGCTTTTAGACTTTCTTTCAAAACTCGGTGAATTCGGTTGTGGTGGTTAAACGCAGACTATGAGAAACGAATGGCGATGCATTGTAACTCACTCAGATGTAGCGCTATCGTACACTTTGTTTTGAGTGACAATTGCATCTTTGGATGTTTACTATGGCAGTGCAAAACATGATAAACATCTCCACTGATAAATTGAACGAGTTCTTTGCTTTATACCATACCAGCGGCGAAACGAGCCATGAGGGAACATTTTTTTGGAGTGCGTGGCTAACAAAAATGAGCTTCATTTGAAAAATTTGTCCCCCCCCCCTCGAAAGGACTTTCTGGGACAGCCCTGTTCCAAACATATAAGTTTTAGGCATATCACGAAAACGTCTGGTACGAGCGAGTAACTTTAAGTACGAGTTTGGTTAGAATGCATTTCCACACTGTTCCTCTGCGTCTCATCTGATGAGGTTATATTTAAAAGCCCGTAGCGACGCCCAGGTATCGTCGAGTAAGTCGCATAAGTCGCATTTGCAACTTATGCGTATTGCACACAACGCGCCCTACTTGACGATATAAGGTTAGAACCCAGCGCATTTCCCGTGTTTTCTCCTTGTTTTCTAGTTTTTACTTGATTTGTTTGGAAATGTATCAGTCAGAAGTTACAGTTGTGCAGTTTGTTACGCTAGAAAATGTTTGATTGAGTCAGAAGTAAAGGAGTTATCGATTCTCCATAGTGTGCAGATTCACATGATGAGGCATAAATGACACGAGGCGACTCGAGGCAAATGACCTTTTTGGCTTTTTATCTTCTTCATAACTCAAACATGTTCCGGAAAAACCATGGGGAATGAAAAAAACCTGTTTCTTAGTTTTAAGGCCCTCATAAAAACATTCGTTTCGTCCACGTTCGATTGATTGCCGTTCAATCTTTCGCGGTTCCCACTAGAAAAGTCAACTTTTGATAAAATGAAAATGTCTTAACGGTGTAGTGTGTAACGATGATATGCGCTAGTTCGCACTTTTTATAACCGTAGTCTTTGAAAAATTTTGGTTTCATTCTCCCAGCTCTTTCTTTTTTCTTATTCCCGTCACTGCGAGTTTCGCGTGAATCCACCAGACTATCGTTAGCAGTGCAAGATCAGAACAGAGTCTATACGAAGTTGTGTCTGGCAAAAAATGGTCTTTGATGCGGGAAAAACTCGCAGACGTGCGTGGTCATTTGCTCGATGGAAAGTATGGGTTCTTCTGGGAGGCTTTATCTTCATTTTTTGATATGGTGCGAATCCGTTATTCCTCTATTTCGTGAGATCGAAATCACGACATTGACATATTCTGATCTTTGTGTCGCGGAGCGTCACGGAAAGATCAGCTGTCCTTGCGAGTGGCGTGATGTCTGCAACGTCGCGCCCCTCGTCGCTTATGCATTACAGACATTGCATCCTCGTTCATTCCCGAACAGCTGAAAAAATGCTGACTCGGAAGTCTATTTCATTTTTACTTCACCTATCTCTTGAGTGGCCGAGGTGCGGTCAGAGTTTTGATTATTTGTGCTTTCACTTTTCTTGCTTATCTGACTTATCATTTTGAAACATGCTGGAAACCTTCAAAGTGCAGAAATTAAATGCTTGCAGTGCGAAATTTTTCAGATAAGGCGCATAGAAGGGCATAAACTTTCGGGATTGCTCTGTTTGGGCTGGACTTTCAAGAAAAAATTCATTTTGATTATTCACAGCTCATTTTGGAAGGGTCCAGTCTGAATTTGCCGGAATAGTTGCTCCCGTTATCTCTGAATTAGCAGTATTGAAGTTTTTCGATCTCTCGTGATTTGGTTACGCGCACTCCACTAAACTCCCAGCTCTATTACTTTTTCAGATGGTCCCACGAGGAGTCTTGGGGCTTCGAATCTGTCCCACCGCTCAGCGGTACATATCAACATCTGCTGCTTCACTGGGAGGTGTCCCTACACATATGGGGCCACCAAGTGATCCAAATGCTTCATCCAGCTACCTCAGCTATTTATCCGGAGCCATTAACACTGTTCTCGCTAAGGTCAAAAAAATGCAAGTTCGCATTCACGACTTAAATAAAATCTATTTTTAAGACCTCTGCAGCGACATCGGCACTCGGCTTGACTTCAGAACAGAGTGGACCATCGGAAACGAAGGTAACGGAAACCACTATAGTTGGTGTACCCGTCAAAGCAAAGTGAGCACTATTCGTTTTCGTTTCGTTAAGAGTTTGAGCCTTTTCTTCTAGATTCTCGAAGCACACCTTCAAAAAGCGGATATCAAGGACTGAAGTTACCAACAAAACTAGAGCATTAGTTCAAAAAATATTGCTCGCTGAGGCTTCAAGTTCTAGGCTTCTTCGGATTCAAGAGCTTAGCTCGCACATAATAGCATTTCCGCCAACTAGGATCATTGCTGCTCAGGTGACTTGTTCGGAGTTGTTTCCTTGGATTTTTGGAGTTATTTCTACATTTATTTTTTGCTTAGTGGTTTGCATATTCAATCATTTTTTGGTGTTTCCTATTTCATCATATAAAATACTGATTTCAGGACCCTTATCTCATTGCCAATCTTCTAAAAATTGTCACTTCCGAATACACCGCTGCAGAACTTCGAGCCGAAGCCAGGCAGTGTCTCACCCTTTGCGGATGCCAACCACCAGTAAAAAGCAGGGGTGAGCTATGTTTTCGCAAATGTCTGTTTCATACTGCGGTTTGATGTATAACTTGGGCAAATGCGACACACCTACTTCGCTAAATAGTGTTTGGTCTGCGACACACTACTTCGCTAAATAGTGTTTGATCGTTATTATATGATTTTATCTTTCTTTCACTTCCTCACCCATCAGTTTTTCTCCACTTGCCTTTCTTGAGTGTGTCGGTATGTCTAATGTATTGGCCGCAAATCCGAAAGCTCATACTACTTTCAAACACCGTCGAGCACGTGCTGTTGTTGTTCAACGGGATGACAACCCTAGTTTACGTTAAGAGTTTATGTACCATAACACACCATCGATCCATGTACTACTGCTCTAGACGAACTCTGTTGTCTATGACCACCGGCGTGGGATAGAGACGCAAGCGTGTTCTTATTGTGACGTCCAATTCAACGAAAATGTCTCGAAACCTGGCGTATATGTCCTTTTTTCCCCCAAGAAGTCCTGCTTACAGATGAGTGCATTTACAAATATCCTGAAATTTAGCACATCTGTCTTTTTTGGCGCAGATAAGTACGTCTTCGGTCAAGGTCCACCCACAAAAAGTTCTTCTTGCCATTATAACACTCTAAATCTTGTCAGATAAGTTTGAGGCGGTTACCTGTATCGAGTTTTTTAGGTCGATTTATTTGCGCAGGCCCTTTCTGACAGTTTCTAAGGTAATTCCGCTACTAAAATAAGCAGAATGCGCGTTCTCAAGGGTCTTATCAGGCTGACTCATCTCTAGGTGGGGGGGGGGGGGTACCCCTATGCTAAATTATAATTTAGCATATATTTTGCGAATATATTTGCGTAAGAGGGTTTATAGGAGACTAGCTGGCTTACCCGGCTCCGCCGTATGTTCCAAATAGAAAATTCCATTTCTGAACCGATCCGGACCAAACTTGGCACACATACACTACGGGCCCCGGCGGGTGTCACAGTCCACTTTTCGTTATCGATCGATGACGAAAAGTAGCCTATGACACCCGCTGGGGCCCGTAGTGTATGTGTGCCAAGTTTGGTCCGGATCGGTTCAGAATGGAATTTTCTATTCGGAACATACGTACAGACAGACAGACAGACAGATAGACAGACATACAAACAGACATTCAGCTTTATATATAAGATTTTGAAACATTGCAATATTGCGTACATAATATCTTGTCATCGCTACTTTAATATTGGTTCCTTACAGGTGTGAACCTGTTGAGCATAGATGGTGGAGGCACGCGGGGTATGATGGCTCTCGAAGTGTTGCAGGAGCTGGAGAGAATTTCGGGTAAAAAGGTCAGTTATCTTTTGTTGGTCTCCTGCTGTGAATCCAGTTCATTTTTGTGAAAAGATTCGATTCATTATTCTTAATTTTTAGATTTGTGAGCTGTTTGACTACGTCATCGGAGTGAGTACAGGCAGTATAATTGCTAGTTTACTAGTTGCGAAAGGTTTCACAATCGACGAATGTCGCGAAGTTTACTTGGATGTATCTAGAAGGTATCTTTCAGATTTTTAGATTTATAATGTGGTTTCTATACAGCATTTTCCGAAGAATCTTTATTTGTTTTAAAAATTTTTTCTTTTTTTAATCATTTTTTTGCTTTAGCTTTACATAAAATGGAGTATTCCTTGAATTGGAGTGTAATTAGCGTTTCTTGCAGACTTTTCTCGCAGAACAGGCTAACTGGCGTAAGTGGTATCGTCTTCAGTCACTCTTACTATGACACTAAGAAGTGGGTTAAATTACTGAAAGAGGTAAGTATCTAACCTTGTGTTACTGGCTTACTGTTATTCCTGAGTTTCAGGTTATTGGCGAAGGCTTACCTTTAATTGGAACAAGCAAAACCTGTGTCCCTCGACTTGCTATAATTGCCTCCGTAGTGAATTCGCCCGTCTTGCAGGTTTGGGATTGATGTATTGAGTAATAATTGGGGCTGTAGCTCACTGTGCCACTTTCAGCCGTATGTATTCCGAAATTACGAACCTCCAGCGGGTAGGGATTCGCATTACGTAGGCAGCACCGCTTATGAAGTGTGGCAGGCTATACAGGTAGCAAATTTGCGTATACCTTCACTTCATTTTCATTATTTTTCGTCTTATATCTTTCTTTTTTCAAGCCCGAGAGGTATTGCCACCTTTTAGGCGTCTGCGGCTGCACCGCTATATTTCGAAGAAGTTGCACTTGGAAATTTTCTGTTGCAAGATGGTGGTGTACGTTTTTCAGGAATTTGATTATATGAACATATATGCTGAAAGCCGGTGTTTTAGGTTATTGCTAATAATCCTACTGCGATTGGAGTACATGAGGCGAAACTGCTTTGGCCTCAAGAACGCTTCCACTGTGTAGTGTCAGTTGGCAATGGGCGAACGGTATGTGCACAGAAAGTTCCAAAATTGCTCTTAACGTGGCTAAATGATCTCCGTATTTCAAAAGGATCAGTTAGTAAGCCTTAGTCCATTACCATGATAAATCTTGACTTTTTGTATGCAAACTGTTCTCGCTCACTTTGCTGGGTTTTTTCTTATGGTTTGCGACATCATCAATTTCAATTTACACTCAAGTGTTGGCGATTCTCTAGATAGTAATGTAACCATGTTTAGGTTATGGACTTCGAAAGAGAGGAAGAAGCTGCAAAACCAGCCAGTTTGAGTTCTCTGCAAAAGTTTAACAGAATTGTGGATAGCGCGACCAATACAGAAGCTGTACATATGTGTATGCATGATCTCCTCGATGAAGATGTTTATTATAGGTAAAACGCGTGTTTTCCCTATGTTTTACGTTTTGAAGAGAATTTTTCTTAGGTTGAATCCATACATGACATATCCCTATGGACTTGATGAGATAAACCCGAAGAAGTAAGCTTGTTATCTAGCTAATTTATTTTCCGAGCACTAAAGAGTTTATTTTGAAGACTTGCACAAATGTCAAACGATGCGAAGTTGTACGTTCGGCGTAATAATGCAAAGATTGAGGAGGCAGCTGCGAGACTATTGGAGGTAGGTTGGATCATTCACATGCTTGACAGCGTTGATATGCCTTGAGTAGCATTCTGTTCAATGCCATTCTGAGAGTAAATCGTAGTTTTATGAAAGTGGTAGATCAGCTTTTGTGCCAATTTGGTATACCCGTTCATTCGTGGGATATACCCACCTACTTTTTATTATCTTGTTTTGAACTCCACATATCCATCGTGACTCAATACGTTGACGACCGTATGCATACTCCCGTAAGCACCCCTGACTCCCGTCTCGCGCACACCTATGTATCTATGCAAGCCACTTTTCAGATAATGAAGAAAAGTGCTGAGCTAGCTTCTGTACAGTAATAGTACTGGTGGTCTGATTGTCATATAGAACACAGGGCTTTGCGGTGGTTGTTCAGGAGTCTAACCGCAAGTTTAGGTATTTAGGTCCATTTTTGATGTGGTAAATTTGCTCATTATGTTATTCGAGAGCAAAGACTCTGCGTAGCTGTTTTGAGAGATAATCAAGGATGTATTCCGGCCAAAAACATCCAAAATTATAACGTTCCCTAGGATATTTCTCAGATACAGGGTGTTTGAAATGTTCGTGTCCTTAAGTACTTCCAGTTCAAATTTTGACGAGCTTTTTGTTTTATTGTGCTCATTAGGCCTAGAAACCATTAATTCAGTGAAACCAGCTTTCCTTTTGGTTTTTTAGTTTTTTTAAATTAGATTGAAACACATCAATATAGCTTTCCAAACCACTTTCCTTGCGCTTGTTACAAAGAAGGAAACATGATTCACAGAAAAGTAGGTGTACATTCTGAAAGCTCTTTCTTCAAGGTTTCTTACATGTGATTTTAATCTTAACAGAAGTAAGTTCGTTTTTGAAATACCGTGTCTTGAAATAAAGAAATCGAGTTTCAGGATTTTTTCGTTAACAAAGCACAGCACCGAAATTTTTTTTATTTTTTCTTTAAATCCCTCATAAGCGTGCAAAATTTTTGAAAACAAGTACAACGAAGGTCAGAGAGTTGTACTTGTTTTCAAATACAAATATATGTTGAAATAAGACCTCCAAATTTTTTGAACTAAAAAAATTTTAACGCAAAGTGGTGCCGCGACTCTCTGCTGTGATTCAGCACACGAAAAAATCTTCGTTAGCAAGCTACTGAAGAACTTTTGTTATACGAAGAAAGTGTAACTCTAGGACTATTTGTAGTAAAAAAACCAAAAGATGTTTTTCTTTTTCGGGGGTTGAAAAAAAAAACGAATCAGATAACGTACTCTCTAAGAAAGCTAAAAAATTGTCTACTTCGAAATTTTTCAGGGTATCTTGAGGCAAAAAATATTTTTCTTTGTTGATTCAGTGGTTTCTAGGTTTGGCGAACACACATAGCAAAAATCGAGTTAGCATTCGCAGTTGAAGTGCTTAAGGACACGTGCTTTTCAAACACCCTGTACACCCATAGCATGGGTTATCGGTGGAACATACATGTGATTCCATAAAAACTTCCATGTTTCATGAAGAAATGTTGAGAAGACTGCCTTACTATGATTTCTTGCATACGCGCGTATGCACGCGCTAAATGCGCGAGGAATGCTAGTGGGAGTTAGGCTGAAAACGGCTTGGTCGTCAATTTGTTGATCTTTCATTGAAGAGAATAGAATAATTCAAAATGACCTCATAATTCAAAGTGGTGCGGCAGGACAGTTCGAATTCCCGAAAATGCAATGTTTTTTTACAGAAGCCTACATACATCCAACGAAGCATGCGTTGGTTTGATGAATGGAAGGATATTCGAGGATGGTATTCTCCTCGCTAGAGTATGGAACTCAGGTCATTCTCAGGCGTAGTGTTGCATATAGAACTTTGTTCCGGTGCCTTTTCAGATTCTGATCAGCTTGATGTAAAACTCCTTTAATTCCCCATGTTAATAATAATAATGTACAAATGCAGTAGAACTGCTTATGTCTCTTGTATTGGAAGCTAGTTTTAGCTCGGTTCTGTAGAAATTGTGAATGGTTAGTGCTTTACCTAATATCTATCTAGATCTGCCAAACTTATCTCTACTGTCTTAATAATTTCGCCATAGCTTCATTTGTCTTTCTTACTGTTCTCTGTCTCCATCAGCCAAATACCGGTGTCACGTTTTGTCTATCAGTAAAACTGACATAAAGTATTCAAGAGCTGTGAGCTTGTGCACAAGCGATATAGTAGAGCGTGGGGACGATGCACTTAGTATCATAGGTGCGATAGGGGGAGCCGGGCTCTCCCCAGGTGAAGGGGGTCTCGGCTGTTCCCGACCTTCCAGGGTGAAGGGGGTATGTGATATACTTGGGACCGAATCGAATAATTATTCGATCATTCGAATAAACCATTCGAATGCGAATGATTCGAAAAGTCGAATATTCGAAAATTTGAGATTTCGAATAAAATTCGAAAGTCGAATATTCGTAATTTTCAGTTTTCGAATATATTCGATAGTCGAATATTCGAAAATCTTCATTTTCGAATATCATTCGAAAGTCGAATATTCGAAAATCTTAAATTTCGGATATTATTCGATAGTCGAATATTCGAGGGTCATTCATTCGATCATTCGATGTCCATCAAATATTCGAATATTCGCCGAGCACCGAATATTCGGAAATTCGATAAGAATTGACTATTCGAAAATTCGATAAGCACCGAATATTCGAGAATTCGATATGCATAGCGTACACGGGATGTCTTAAAAGTATCTACACACCGTTTGATCGCTAATACCTCTCAAAGTCTTTTGCCGACTTCTGGGTAACATCCAGTAGGGATGGCTTCAGCTTTTAAATACAGCAGAAAGCGAATCACCCATGTTTTTCTTATTGTGTGTTATCACAGTAGGAAACTCCAGCTTATAGACCAACTGCAAAATAAGACATCCGAAAAAATTGTTCTCAAAAAAAGTATAAAATCTGTGCAGCAGTGTTTTTACGTGCTGATTTTACTACGCACGAATTTTTAAGCTTTTCAAATGGCAATCACATTTTTGAAAGGTATTGCAAAATACTTATTACGGTGTATCGTTTGTTTCCCAGCAAATTTCCCAAAGGCACCACGTCATGCCGCTGCCTTTCGCTATTTTGAACGTAACGTGTTAACCTGGGAAGTTCCGTTGAGATCTCAGGACGAACGTGTCAAAAGGAGCGAAAGGCAGCGTCGCACCACGTACGCACGCTGACTCACAGGGAACTTTTCTGGGGGACACAGGATACCTGGCGTAAGTTTTGAAAGAAAGCATTACGGTTGAGTGCAAATTCTACATAAAGTGTCTTTAGAAATCTTAAGCAAGACTTTCAGATCTTTTGATTCTTTTTCTTGGGGAAATGGCTCTTGATGTTTTGAAACCTGCTTCAGTCTTACGGTAATTTTACAACAGTAAAAAGCGATTGATAAATTGCCCCATACTCTAAGTTGATGTCAGCCTACAGATCTACACACTGTTGCGACCGCTATATATCCAATCGCAACTCTCAGTGAGGGTATATAATCTTCTTTGAAGTACGAAAAATCTCTTCACAACTGTCACAGGAGTAGCTTTCAAGTTCCTAAGTATCCTCACGTCACGACTAAACCGTTTTTCCATCGTTAATTGTAAGATAAGAATGTGTCCATTCTTAGCACTTACATGAAACAATTTATTCTTAGTGTTTTGGCCTTTCATAGGCAGTCTCAATGACATAAATTATTCGGTCAGTATTCGAAAATCGAATGATATTCGAAAATCGAATAACATTCGAGAACCGAATAATATTCGAAATTCGAATAACGAATGACATTCGATATTCGAATATTGTTCGATTCGAAATTTTCATTTTCGAATAATATTCGATAGTCGAATATTCGAAATTTCCGATTTTCGAATATTATTCGAAAGTCGAATATTCGAAATTTTCAATTTTCGAATAATATTCGGTAGTCGAATATTCGAGAATTTCGATTTTCGAATATTATTCGATATTCGAATATTCGAAATTTTTGATTTTCGAATATATTCGATATTCGAATATTCGAAAAAAATTTCGAATTTCCCCAAGTATAGTATGTGAGTCTAGGGGGGGGGGGGAGGAAGAGAGAAAAGGTAAGAAAGCGTGGTATGAAAAGCTCTAATTTGTACCTTATTTAGGGACAAATTGAAAAAAAATTTTTCTAGAATTTAAAAAAAATAATATCAGGTTGAACCGGAAGTTCTTTCGCACCAAATCCAAAATTCACAATTTCTGAATTTTCTAACCGATTGGACCGCTCTTATTTTAATATGAAAGAGTAGGTCATGCTCTTTATAAAGACCATCAATTGCTTACTAATGATCATCTATTGCACAGATAGGAGCGGTAGAATAAAATTGGTCAAAAACTGAATTTTTTGTGTAGGGTCATAAAAAATCGGAAACTTGCAACAAAAATCGGAGCAGTCGGTATTGTAGGTTTTTTCACCAGCTCTTTCTAACTGTGCAAAGTTTGCGCCGATTGAACGTCTCTATGAAAAGTTACGATTTTCGAGCAAGCAGTACAAAAGGATGATTTTGGTTTATTTTGGCATTTTTCAGGGAAATTACAACTTTTCATAGAGACGCTCAATCGGCGCAAACTTTGCACTGTTAGAAAGAGCTAGTGAAAGTACCTACAATACCGACTGCCCCGATTTTTGTTGCAAGTTTTCGATTTTCTATGACCCTACACAGAAAATTCGAATTTTGACTAATTTTCTTCTACAACTCCTATCTACGCAGCAGATCATTAGCAAGCATCTAAGAAGTCGTTATAAAGAGCATGACTTACTCTTTCAGAAAAAAATAAGAGCGTTCCAATAGGCTGGAAATTTCAGAAGTTATGAATTTTTGAATTTGGTGCGGAAGAACTTTCGGTTCAACCTAATAAATAAAAAAATTGACTTTATGAAGATCTGTGCTCCTATTTCATTGCATCGACAAAAAACGAAAGCAATAAGGTATCCCAAAAGATGTACAAGTTAGGAACAACTTACAATTCCTGCACGTCATCATCAACAATATCACTATCGCTAACGTCAGAGACAACAAATTTGCTGCCTGAAAGATCTTCTTCTGTCAAAAGATCATCGGAGTAGAAGTAGAATTGCGTCAGAAAGCGTTCTGAGTCGAAAATGGATTTGAAACGTTTTTCTCCTTCTAAGCGCTTTTGTGTTTTTTTTTCCTGGCCCTCTGGTAGCACCAGGAAAGTCAGCAGGTAGGGACCAGTTTCTTCATAACATCTTTTAGGATATTTCAAGAAGTCGTACGGTGTCATCCCGTCTGGACCACTTATAGCAATCCTTTGAACGAACTTTTTAGATAACAATATGTTTAGTAGAAGGTTGACAAACCTTAAGTAATTGCTTAGATGCTCCACCGTTGTGCGACTTCTGCGTTGTGTTCTGATAACAGAGTAGATAGAAAATCCTCTCTCCACCTCTGCAGTGCTAGTCGGAATGGACACTAGCTTTGCTAGTAAGTCCATCAGATTTTTGCGGTAAGTAATGGGGAAAGAGCCAGATCACATATGTTTTCGCAACACGGGAAGGAAATATTGCATACTTTTTTGGGCCTTGTCGAACTCTGGCTTCACCTCCTCTGGCATAAGTCCTGTTAGCTGATAAAGCTGCTCAACTTCTTCTCTAACAGCATCTGCGGAATAGCCAAAAAAAGTAGATACTATGCTGCTCGTTGGTTTTTTTTTCAATATCATAGGTCATAATGTCACAAAGCGAATAACTTCCAAAAGCATAAAGCACAGAGTTGGGTTCGCACTCCAGTCGGGATCTAAGAGTAGTAGCTATGCTTTGTACTAAAACCTTCCTTTTGTTCATATCAATGTTCGTGAATTTAGCAGCCTTGAAATCTTCAGCAATCTGAAGATCAGCAATGGACTTCTTGGACATTTCCTCATTGGGACTAGGCAATCTGCTTGGATTTCTGATGTACGAAATAGAGAGTTTCGCTCAAATGTCAACTCTGTATCAATGTCGACAACATATTCGTCGGCGTAAGATTCTCCTTCTGCCTCGCTGTTGAACTGGAACACATGCGAGTCATCTGCGATTTTGTAAAGTATTCTGCCTGCCGTTTCTTCTTCAAACTGACAACCTTTCCAAAACATTAAAGGATATTTCAATAACGTGTTGTTCTTCTGAATGCCTCAAAGTTTTTGGTTTATTGAAACCAACCATTCTCTACAATTAGGTGAGTCTAGAGCGCTTTCACGAACGTGACCTTCTTCAGCACTAGTTTTACAGAGTATAGATTCCAGAAATGGGCGGGTTTTGTGTGAAGGTGTGGAAACTCACCAATATCCCATAGTTCTTTGAGTATGTGCTGATAATGATGGCACAACTGTCAATCAAAAGCGCATTTTTTAACTTAAAAAAACATAAACATATAACAACGATGAGCACGCTTAAATAGACGCGCTCGCTCGCGTTCCCGTTAGTGCTGATAACGATGTCAATCCACAGCACATTTTTGCTATTAGCTTGCTCCACCTCGCTCTTACAATGTATTGGCTTTTATCGGTTACCGGAGCAAATGATTTTTAGAGCCGGGAAGCAAAGAAGCCCTAACATGCTGTATACCATTCGAAAGCTGAGATCATGGAGAATCGACGTAGACCGTCGACTTTCTTCTAGGTCTTCTGTGCCGCGAGATATGAGGGATTTTATGTGCTTCAAAAAATTAACTGATTTTGTGTCCTCACTTTTTGCTCTCCAAATGAATTGTACGAGAAAGTCGACGGTCTACGTTTGTTAATGAAGACTTGCTCTTTAACACGGATAGATAATCAGCAGTTATTAGGTCTTCATTGCAGGAATCTGCTGTTGAAAATGACCATGTTTTTAGATACATTGCGGTGTATCTCTTGGTAGAGGAGGGCTAGAAAGAAGTCGACGGTCTAGGTCGAATCCCCTTTTCCTGAGCTTTCGAATGGTATATAGCTTGCTGGGCGAAAAAACTAACCAGTTTTCAAAAATGGGGTGGAGATATTTACTATTAGCTTGCTCCACCCAGCTCCACCAATGTATTGGCTTTTATCGGTTACCGGAGCAAATGATTTTTAGAGCCGGGAAGCAAGGAAGCCCTAACATGCTGTATACCATTCGAAAGCTGAGATCATGGAGAATCGACGTAGACCGTCGAC